ATCTTTTTTTATTTGTTTTTTCATGTAAACTCCCCACACTTGTTTATATTTTCCTTTTTTATTTTTTGTGGCTAATACATTTTATTTATTAGGAGAATATAGATGATGTGTAGATTGAATCTTAAAATAAAAAAAAATTTAACATTAGAAATGTCCTAAAGTAAATTTTATGAATGCATATAATATAAATTACTCGTATTTTTAATAGTATTCACATTACTTTGTTTTGTAGGTATCCAAATAAAATTTCAACTTTTCTAGGGAAAAAATTTAACTGAAAGTAAAAATTTTTTTCGCATATCCCAACAAATTTTAATTGCAAACAATGAAATTTTGATAAATAATGTGGCTGTGTTATTTACATGTTTATTGTAAGCAAGCATTAATTTCAAGGCCTTCGAAAATTTAATTGAAATGTCGACCTTTTTATTATGAAATATCTTAAATTTTTAAAATTTAAAAAGTGAAGTTAAAGATTGAAAGATTTTTTTTTTTTTTTTTTTGCAATCGAATTCATCTGTTATTTTTATTTTTTAAGTTTTGAAGATTCGTAATTTAAAAGAGTTTCGTGATTTAAAAACAATTTCAAAGTTTCAAAATAGTTGTTTAAAGTTTAAAAACAGTATCGGAGTTTCAAATTTTCGAATATAATTTAGAGTTTTGAAATAGTTCGAAGTTTTAAAAATTAATACCTAGATTTATTCAACATCATAAAAAACAAGCAGCTGAAATTGCAAGCTCTGATTAATTAAAACAATGCTTCTATTCGTAGCATAATTTCTTAATTATAATTCTAACTAGTTTGTTTCATTCATTAATTTATTATTATAATAATTTAATAAACAATCAATTCATAAATATTGAGAAAAAAACTTTTTTTTTTTATTTGTTTATCAATCATTCAATTATGAATAGTATATAATAGTAAGAGTAATAGAGTTGGGAATAAATTTATTCGATAATTAAAAAAAGTTACACGTAAAAAATTTTACTGATCTTACTATA